TGAAGTAGACAATTAATTGGGCACACAAAAGGGATGGGGGAAGGAAAAGAACTACCTTGAATTAACAAGAGGAGCAAGATTTTTGAAGTAATAGTGATTGAAACTTTGTCCTGCTTCTATCCCACCCGCATTTTCCTTTGCAAGGAAATTATTTCTCTTTCTTCAAATATCGATTAATTTCATGTTAAATAGAGACAGCTGCGGTTTTGAATTTGACCTAATTTTACAACTGTTAATATTTAGAATCCCATAGTCTTTCCTAGGTGTAACACCAGTTGATGTCAAATTGAGCTTTTTGTTCCATGAACACTTAAGGGGGAAAAGGGGGGGGGCAAAAGGCTGAAAAAATTAACGTCATTCTCTAAATACACTTATCCATGCCCTCTAAAGACCTCTTCCCCCATAGAAAAAAAAAGTGTGTGGGGAGGATTAGGATTACACCATTGGGGAAATTCAAAAATGAGTGCACATTTATGTGTCTAATTTGTGTGCACAGTTACTAAGAGTGAACACCCGATAGTGATTAATGTGTGCTTGACAGTTCATTTAGATGCTTGCTTGCCACAATTGCACAAACACTCAGGGTGATCATGTGTGCAGATTAGACCAGCAAATTCATCTGGACTGCTAAATCTACTTCCAGTTAACAAATGGCAGATGGTCTGGATAATAGTCCTGCCGTGAATGCAGGGGACTGGACTAGATGACCTCTCGAGGTCCCTTCCAGTCCTATGATTCTGTGATCATCATTAAGATACTAGAATAGTTAAAGCTGTAACTAAACACATTGGCTGAAAGGGGATTTCAGATGGCAAACCCAAGAAGCTGCATTTCTTTGTAGAGGGCCTAAAATAAAACTTTGGGAATTGGGTTTGGATACAGCTGTTGTCTTATCACATGGACAGTATAAGAATGTGAGGTGCTTCTGACGTATCTCTCTGGGGAGGATATAACCTAATCATGTGCTGTATGCCCAGGAAACAGGAATATTCTGCTCATTGGTAAACTGCCATTTCCATAGCAGAACTCCTGAAGAGATATCCAAACAATGGTGTCTTAAAACTGCAGGGCTGTTTAGAGACATTTCTTTCCTTTAAACAAGAAGTAGGGGAAATGTAATTTTAAAAAACTCAACAACTGTACAATGATTATTTGAAAGGTCATGTGCAGTTCTGCTTGCAGAAAAGGTGACTCGGAATATGGTACCTGAGCCAGTGAATAACCGGTCTAAGGGAATTAATTCCAAACTGCTTAAAAGCGCTGATAGGCAGAAAAGTGTGTGGTTATTTATAACAGTCGTGTGTGCAGTGAGTGGTTTGTGTACTTAAATTACTAATCTATTGCTTGTTTCTTTTAAGTTTATTCAAAAATTCTTTGTTGGGCTAGAAGCCATAAATATGATTATATATGAAACATGTAAAGTTGCTGGAGCTCAAACTTATTTTTTCACATGCAGAAAGCCTTTTTTCATATGGTATTTTTAGTATGTCTTTGGCAGGTGCACTGAAGTATAGAGCTTTCCTGGGATATGTGTTTGATTATAAACCATTTTAGGAACATGTGTTGTATTTAACTCTGGCACAATAATAATATCTAGCTCTTGTATGGTGCTTTTAATCCATAAATCCAGTGTGTTTACATCTGTTGTTACACTGCAAAAAGTTAAATCCTGTAAATCCTTTGATAATTTATTTTGTAAGATACAGATGTTAGGAGTCTGAGGTAGTCCAATTATATCATTCTTGAGATATAGATACCTTCCAGCAATCGCCACTTATTTAAACCCAGAAGAGCTCTATACTTCTGTGTACATTTGAACATAAATGAACCAGTCTGTGTTTTTTTTTTAATTATTTTTTAAATTAAGTGAGTGGATTGCTGACACTTCCAAAACTATAAACAGACCTTAAATTCAGGCAATATATCACTCTTAAGTGAGGAAAAGAATAAAATAAATATTTTTATCAGAGCGGATTTGGGGAACTTGAAAGGGAGCCAGAGTGTTTGTTATGGCCCATCTTAAATGCCTCAAAACTAAGTTTATAATTCTTATTTTTCCCTTTTAATTTTTTTAAACATTATTTATTTTCAGCAGGTCAGATAAATGACAAGCTGCCGCCATAATGAACTTCTTTCGGTGGAAATTAGCTTATTAGTCATTAATAAATAAAAAGACTGACAAAAATATTCTGATTGGATAAATAAATTATTCCACTAGATGAATGTGGCCGTGTAGTATCTAATCTGTGCATAGTATATGTACAAATTGAGGAACTGAATGTGTGTTAATCAAGTATAGAATTTACTGCTGTTTGATACACTGTCATTTTGATAGATGAACAGCCAAGCAGGCTTCCGAGGTGGTAACCCTTAGCCAAGAGCTCCCTGTTGCCCATCTCTGGGTTTAGTAATGGTATTCCAGCCAGCAGTAGCATAGCATAGAGAGATGTCGTCTTTGGAGACAGTCAACATGTTGAGTTGCACTTGGAAGCAAACAGGAAACCAGTGCAAAGCTCAAAGCACAGGTATTACCTTCCCCGTTAGCCCTATTCTGCCCAACAAGTGTCTGCTTTCTGCCCTACCTCAAACTTCCACCCAGTCTTCAAGTAAATCACACTGATGCATCTCTTGAAATATCTTACATAGCAAATATTCCTTCCCTCAAGGAATTTGAAATTTTCAGGCCTCCAGTTGTAACAATGATGGACTGAGATGGAGAGTGGCCCCTTATGCATTTTAGACTTTTGGAGGCCTGGTGTTCTTGGAATTTATGTTGTTCAAACCAGATATTCAGGCATTTGTTGTTGGGTTTTTATTTATTTATTTATTTTTACTCTCTGCATATATGACAGTACAAGATCTTACTGCTTGTATCAGGAAACCCCCAAAATTGGGTATGGAACTGTGTCCAAACAGTCCGGTCACTTACGCAACAGGGAAATCAGTTGTCACTGGCATGTAGAGTCAGTCAATATAATCTATAAATTGTGAATCATCTCTTGGAGAAAGTAGATTTGGATCTGCACTCTCCTTTTACTTTAAAAACAAACAAATAAATAAATAAATAAGACAAAGAGGTTGTCCTTTGCACTGTTTTATTTCAATGTCTTTTTGGAAAAAGTGTCAGTGTTTTTGCATAGCACATGCTTTCCAATTTGTATTACATCTGCATTCTGGGATGGGATGTTACTGTTTCTAAACTTCTTTTGTAGGTCTATGTGGAAATACTTTTCAGGTATCTGCATCGCTATCTATTTAGAACATAATATAGCATGTATTGTTTATTTGTCTCCTTTTCCCCATTAGTTCCGTATTGTGTGGATCTGGAATTTGTAGATATATATTTCTTAGATAATCGAAGTGTACAGGTAAACTGAAGATATTGTTCTTTTATTTTTAGTACATTTATTAAGAGGGAGGGTTTTATTTGTTACCATACATATTTTATTAATTAGGATTTTGACTTATTGCATGGAATCATTTTACTAATGTATTGGTCATGCTCTGTTTTGATTTGAGAAATGTCCCTGCTGCAGTGTGTGTGAATTCAGACTGTCAAATTATGGAATGTAGTAGGTTGGGCTAGTGTCCCACCACTGTTACTTGTAGATATTGAGGGTCTGGGGGACAGATGTCAGAAGTGTGTTTCTGTTACCTTACTTTTTATGACCTCTTTTCCCACCTCTTACTCCTCCCAATCTAGGCTTTTGGTTGAGGTATCTCTGTGAGGTTTTATTCCTGACATCTTACTATTTACAAAAGCAAATGTTCTTTTTAAGAGACATCCTTTGAGCTTTAAGAATAGGAGTACTTGTGGCACCTTAGAGACTAACAAATTTATTTAAGCATAAGCCACAAGTGCCACAAGTACTCCTGTTCTTTTTGCGGATACAGACTAACACGGCTGCTACTCTGAAACCTTTGAGCTTTGTAGTCTTCAGGTGTGGATCTATTGGTGGAGAAGAAAGTTCCTGTTCTCTGCAGGTAGTGATTTATATTAGGGGGATCACATTTTTGAATGCACTTAAATCACTTAGGAGCCTAGCTCCCATTTTCAGAAGTGGCATAGGCACTTGGGAGCCCACCTCATTGAAAGTTAGCAGGACTTAGGCACTTAAGTCACTTTTGAAAATGGTCACTTTAGTGCTTTTGGAAAATTTTACCTAGATCCCCACTGTCACCTCCTGTGAATTGGAGTTTTGTTGTTGTTTGAAGCTGACAGAGGTGGTGACATTCTATGTACAGGGGAGTCGCATCTTACGCAGGGGTTAGGTTATGAAGTCAGCGCGTGAGGCGAAAATCGCGTATAGTCAAACGCTCATTGAGTGGAATGGCGGACAGAATCGCCCGCACTACAGGTACAGTATTTAAATTGTTATTTTTCTCTTTTTTGTTTTTGTTTTGCTGAGCACGTATAGTTAAAATTGCGTAAGTTAAATGCGCCTATGATGCGACTCCACTGTACGCCCTTTGGTCACATGGCCTGTGGATTCCCCAAGAGTTCTAAATTATTTTAGATTGTTGTTGAGCCTCTGCATCTTGTGTCTAAAATCAGGGATGTGGTCTCTACCTTTACATAACAATTACAGCTACGTATGCATGGGGGGGGGGGGATACTTGGCACTCGGCAATGTAAATGTGCTAGCCCCTGAAAATGGTGAACTAAGTAATACAGGGAAGGTAATACCAAGAGTTGGCAGAAGAGAGAAATTGAGAAGCAAGCTTTGCCAAACAGTTAGTGGTACTTATTGAGAAGTACCAACAGCATGCTCAAAGCTGTACATGTATGAGAACATGATCTGTGCCCACAGACAAAACAGTTCAGAGACAGTGTATCAGATTGTATAAAGTCAAGATGGTGCAGAAATCTAGCTGTGCTCTAAAGTTAGCACTAAGCATGTTATACATTTCTCATGATTATAAAACATTTATAATTGTTTTTCTTTATATGTATATACTCCTTTTCGTGCTGACTTTTTCCCCCTCTGTTTTGCTTTCAGGAGTTTTATGAACATACAAAAACACTTTGGCAAGATGAAGGTGTGAAAGCCTGCTACGAGAGGTCTAATGAATATCAATTGATTGATTGTGCACAGTAGTAAGTAGAACTTCTGTTTCTGATATATATTGTCAATAGCTATAATTTTAGTATTTGCAAATGATAGAATGTACTTTGTTTCCTGACACACACGTTCTATCCCATGAAAAGAATAAATGTTTACTATACAGTGAAACCTATCTTAATCAGACACTTGTGGGACCACTAAAATTAGTCAGCTAATGGTAGTCTTTACATGATAAAGAAAAATTGTATTGCAAACGTTGGAGATCCCTTTAAGCAGTCTTGACAGGCCATTCAATTTTTCCTGAGATAAACTGTGTCTTAATAGTGTGTCTGAAAGCCAGTCCCCTTCCTTTCCAGTGACAATCACTTGGACCCCACCTCCTTTTCCACTGGCAATCAAATAAAATCCCTGAGGCATCAGCAATTGTTTATGTGGAAAAGTTAGACTGGGAGGAACATCTACTTTATTTGTAGCTTTTTAATGCAATTTAGTAGCTAGAAAGAAGGTGGTGGAGCCACCAGCAGCGGCTTGATGCACAGTTAATGCACACTTCAGAATGGGAGTCACTCCACTCCCATATTAATATTACTGTGTAGAGTAATAATTATAGGGATATTAAGAGACTGGAGGCAAATCTGCAGTTCTTTACTCATAGCAGAGTTCAGAAGTTTGGTAGTTTTACTATGTTTGTTTTCTATAAAGATTACTTATACTTTAGTGATAGTCTGCGAGTTGAAGGCCAGAAGGGACCACCAGAACATCTAGTTCTCGAGTGCATAATGAAACCATTTTATTTGGAAGAATTATAGGTAAAAGGTACCATCTATGAATATTGGAGTCTATCTTTCTCTTTAGCTTTTGGTAGAAGTCAAAAGCAAGATTTTGTGATTGGGGAAACAGTTGCATCTCATTTCATATAACGATCAGCTGTTGGGAGTGCTTGAGACTGTGTTTAGGACTGGGTCTTTCACAAGTTTAAGAACATTAGATAAAGTAGAATATGATTTTATGTCTCTGTTTACCTCAGACCAAAAGTAAGTCTAAAATTATCTTTGCTATAAAGAGACTGCTTACCATGACTCTTGCACGGTTCTGGGTCTTAAGAAACCACTGTAAAGTTATGACAATGTTTCTAGTACGATTTTGCTTGACCTGCAGTTAGACCACCCTCCTCTAGGTTACTGATATTTTTCTAGTTCTTTATGTGGCCACTTAAAGTGGTTTCATTGTAAGTTTATTTGCTGCACAAGAAGAAATATTTAAGTGTTTGGGATTTTGAGTTTGATGTGTAACACTGTGGCCTAAAGTGTTGCCCTGTCCTTACTAACAGAACCAGTAAAAACCATGTTTCTGGTAGTGTTTGGTTACCTTGCTGTTTCTGCTAGCAGAAGTAGGTAATATTAGGAACTTGAACTCCCTCTGTCATGTTGCTCTGTACGGGAGTGGGATAACAGTTTTATCTTATGTTTAAGATGAAAATTCGGGAGAAAATTTAAAATATTTTTTGCAATCGTTCATGATTCCTGGACATAGACTTTGTGTTGGGTCAGCAGGCAGGAATGGCCGTTGATGGTTTTACCATCCTGCTCCATCTAGTGGAACATTGATTTTTACAGCACGGGTTGTTGAACCAAAAATAAAACCTGACCACTGGTGACAAATTACAGAAATTTTTCTAGACTATTTTTCATTGTCCAATTTGTTTTTAATTTATTCTATATAACCTCAAAGTTTATATTGTTTTTTAACTTCGAATTTGTTGCAACGTTTTAGTAGTTCTTTTTATAAAGAATTTTGTCCTTGTTAGTCATAGTTCCTTTTGGTGCTTTTTGATACTGCACTATTCAGTACTTTTAATATCATAGAACCAAAGGGGAAAATGTTTGCTCAGAAATTAACTCTGCTTTGAAATCACAGCATACCTCATTGCTACTGAATCTTCTAGAAAAGTATCAAAAATTACTTTTAGCAAAATTATAATGACAGACTGATTATCTTCAAATTAATCCAATGGCCACACTTAAAACAAACTAATAAAAGAAACCCACCAAAGACAAAACAGAGGTTCCACCACTGAGGGCTATTTTGGTTTCAATGTGAAAACAACCATTAATAATGGTAACGGGAGTTAGAAGAGTAATTTAACTGTAGAATAGAAACCTAAGTGGACAGTTTGTTCAGAGAAAATATCCAAGGTTTTTAAACGCTTTCTGCTTTCTAAAACTGCCAGAGTAAAACAAGAAATGGGCACTATTGAATTTAAATAATAAAAAATCTATTAATCATCTTTTGTTTTCAAAATAAATGCAGTTTCCATGAAGTTTTTTTGCTCCTCAAAGTTAATCTTTTTTAAAATGTTCCGTGACTTCTGTCTCCTCTGAGCTACTCTCACTCTAAATTTATACAATTTTGTTGATCGAAATTGACAATTATCAACTTCTAACGCTGATTGGGTTTTTTATAAATGTGTATTACTTTTTACCATAGTCCTCTTCACTAGGACCGCTTCCAAGTATGTATTGCTGAATACATAGTTGTTGTTTTTACAGGAGCAGTCTAATGCTTTTATTTATATATGTTTATATATAGATTACTAATAAGCACGGTTGCACTCTTGCAGGTAGTGTATTAATGTACAAAAGGGTTTGCAAGATACAGGACACTTGGGTTTCATAAGTTGTTTAAAACCAAGCTTTTTAGTCTTTCTATAAAGTAACAGTGAAGAAATCAACTTGGAATTTATGTATTTATTTGGCGTTCCAAAATGTTGCTTATCAAAGGTGAACCTGACCCATCCCTGTGCAAAGCCCACACAAAGCCTTTGTGCAGGAAGAATGGAGGTTGAGAGGATGGCATCTGCCTTCAGTCAGTGGGCAGGCTGTGATCCAGCCCCTGCGTGGCTGTTGTTCCAGCCAGTGAGCTAGCAGAGCAACCACTGCCCCCTCCAGGGACCCTCTTATGCATTTTTGGGGGCAGACTCTGACTCCTCCCTTTCCTTTCATACTTGCTGATTTAGAGCCAGAGCTGTAGTCCTCTTGGCAGTGCAAAGGGAGCATGGAGACAGACCTGCATGGTCTCTCCACGGGCATGCCTCCTTGCACAGTGGAGGTTAAAATGATACAGAGAGGTGGGCCTTCTGTACTAGGGTGAGTCACACCTCAAGCCAGCAATTTGTGTGTAATGGTGTGTGAATTGAGCTTTATTTTTCCTAGGTTTGGGGCTTGCATTCTGTTTCTTCTCACTGAATCCATCTGCCTATCCGTAACTTGCCAAGATGGAACGACTAAGCCCTGCCCCATGGCCTAGATTGACCTTCATTCTTTTAGAAATTAAAAAGTGAAATAATTTGGCCCCTCTTGTCTTTTTTTTTAAGTGGAAAAATCTGAGGAGTTGGCTGGGCTTACTTCTGCATAGCTTTGTTTCTCCTTTTAGAGGTCTGGATTGTTTTTTTTTAAAGAGGAAAGTTGATTCTCTATATTGAGAGAAAGAATAGCTATTTTCCAGCAGAGGGTTCCAGAGATATTTTAAATTTTGATGTTACTTAAGTCATCTTGAAAAGCAAGAGATTTTGGGATGTGCAGACTCACTCTTCCACAGACCAAGAAGAGCCCACCCATGTGTAGAGCAGAGGTGCTTATCCTAGCTGCCTCTCCCATTTCCGTGAAAGAAGCTCCATCCCTTATCTAATCAGTCATATTTTTAGAGCACACTTCACTGTATTGTCTAGGCATCAGTATCTTGGAATAGAATCTCTCTTTCATGCATGTCCAGCAGCTAAGCCCTATAGTTACTTTATCCTCACTGTTTAAAAACTTTTCAGCATCTTTCCATGGTAGGTTACATATTTAATGCACCCGGAATGCCTCTTTCTTTCTTTCTCTTCCCCCTCCCCACCACCCAAATACACTTTATGATGAAATTTACATAGAACTACTTGGGAGGCACAAGGCTGTAACCTTAACTGTAAGAACAACTCTTCTGCTGTCTTCTGTCCCTCACTTACGCTTCTAATACCCCCCCTTCCAGTTCTGCAGCTTGAAACTATACCCACGTTTGCTGAGAGTAAATAAAATTTGTCAACGTAGAGGCATCCCTGTCGATTTTGAAAGAGTAGCTGCCTCTACTCATCATGAGCTTTACTGTACTTCCTGCTTACTAATGCTTGCAGTTTCAGGGGAGTAGGAAGGAGACTGTTTCCCTTCTCTTAACTGGACTTAGAAACTAGTTACTTTCAGTTCTGTTTTTAGAAGATGTGTGGTCTGGGAGCTTTCATCAGTTTCACTCAATATGGAATGTTCTGTATATGTGAGAAGGGAACTATATTGACGAGGAAAATAGGACTCCTTGTCCTTGAATATTCTAGAGATTCACATTGGAAAAAAATAGAAATGTTTACAGAAGTTGCACTGTAATATTTATCATTATTTCTGGCTAGTGATATAGAATACAGAAAACTCAAAGCAATGATAGATGATTTAACAACATTCCTATCTAGTCCGTGAAGCGCACAAAACTGCATTTTTATTCAAAGATACACATTACTATTTAATATTAAAGAACGTAAGGTTCATTGTCTCCATTTTACTGCCTCAGTACTTGTTTGCAGCACCAAAGGCACATTTCTGTAGCTTGAATTTGGTTTTGTCTTGTAATAAAGCTTCACTGCATTGTATTAATGAGTGGGATAGCCATTGTGAACTATCAGTTGTATTTTAACGGTTAATGGGCAAGTGAAGCCACACAGCTAGAAAACAATGATAATCATCACAAAATACACGTTGTTGTTATATGTATTGAGGTAGCACCTGTGGGGGGAGGGCCCCATTTTACCTGGTACTGTACAAACACATAACAAAATTGTTGTGGTTCAGATTTGTAAAAGTATTTAGGTGCCTGAAGATTCAGATAGATGCCAAAATACCTTTAAAATCTTGATCTTCTCTCTTCTTTGATTTTGACATTTATAGTTTATTTTAAAATAGTTGTAATGCTTAGTGTACTAGTCAATATTCCGCAGTGCATTTTGTAAAAG